ATATAGTGTTATACTAATGGTACCGCAAAAAAAAAAAAAAAAAAAAACACTTATTAAAGCATTCATGTCCAAAAATCCAGTTTCCAGGCTGTGTGTGGCCCAGTGTAAAGTGCTGATAACACTGGGGTCCAGAGACACAGCCCGCTGCCTTTGAGCCATGAGCTTGTAAACAAGAGCCATTGAGAAAATTTGCACATAAAAATAAACACCAATTGGAATAAGTCCCATCAGAGAAGTGGAGTGCAGTGAAAGAGTAGAACACAGAGGAGCAAAGGAGGTCCCACCACTGCCTGTCACCTCAGTCCGTCACGCACCAGAACTCTGCGAGCCCAGTCCCCACCCCAGGGGTCCTCACTCAGAGGTGCCTGATCTGAGGACATGCCTTTCTAACCACTTCCCAGGGGCACTGCTACAACTGCTGATCCAGGGACCCCACTTTGAGAACTCACTACACCACAATCCAAGTGCCCCTTCTGCTCTCCTGGGGTTCAGGGCTTCCTTCCTAAATGTCAGAACATGGGAAGCAGGAATGTTGCCTGGAGATGCTGACCTTTCCCAACACAGCCTCCTGTGCTGAGCGCCCCAGTGGCTGGGCCAGGGGCTTCAGTGGACACAGGAGGACATGGGCTTTCTGCACTGACCATTGTGCCCTCTGGGACAGTGAGGGCTGGCCTGGCTTTCCAGGAACTGGCGTCCACCTCCCTAAAAATAGCCTTTCTCATAAACTATGCACTGGGACTCCACTCACATCAGGAACATCAGCCGCATGAAATGGGAGCTTTGCTGGTGATTAGGGGAAGCGGAGGGAACCGCACTTCCCCCGTGTTGTATTTCAGGGCAGGGAAGCACTTTGGCCCTCGGTGGGCGGGCAGGAAATGAGCAACCTCCTGGAGGACCTGAGGGCTGGGGTGGCCCTGGAAGCTGGCAGCAAGGAAGCTTCAGCTTTCTGTCCTGACTGGCTATACAGAGTACGCACGGAGCCACGCCAGGCTTCCCTGGATGTCTGCTTTGTGCGCGCTATCCTCCTGCTCGCTCTAGTCTGACAGCCATGGTATCCCCAGAACCCTAAGTCTCCCATTGTCCCCCTATAGGCTGCAGAGCTGGAAAAGTGTGCTGGCAGAGAGGTGTTACCGAAAGCCAGGCTCTACTTCGAGATCACCCTGAGTACCAGGGCTCATGGCACACACACCCCCAGCCCAAAGGCTTCAAATGTCTTTACAGATACAATATGGGCACATAACTAGCAGAGAGGGGCTGTGTGTTCACACATGCATCTGTGTTTGTGCATGCATGTGCACACATGTGCATGCTCACGTTTATGGGGGGTGCCCACTAGTTTTAACCTCTTCACAGCTCCTTCTGATAGGAGCCCTCTTTCCAAGCCCTCTTTCCAAATGTGAATGCTCCATGCCTGCCACCCCATGCCCCAACTCTCAGACTTAAATACAGATTTCTGCATTGCTTTGTTTGCCTATTTATATAGATCTTATCTCACACTCAGGAGGTGCATGAACACTTTCAAATAAAAATTTTAGTCACCCCAATCTCCCTCTTTTATCTCCCTAGGCACCCAGGAAATACATGACTGAGACTCTGAGACTCAAACTGGGTGGGATTGAAAGGACTCTCAACTCTCCATTAAAAGCATCTGACCTCGGGCCTCCCCTGGTGGCTCAGCTGTTGAGCGCTGGGTTGCGAAGCTATCTGCAGCCTCTGCAGCGCTGGCTCTCCCCCGGCTGCAAGCAAGGGTCCCACATGGTGCGATAGACCTCTCCTGCCACCCGTTGCTCCCCTCAGCAGTGTACTTCGTCAGTCTGCCTGTTCTGTTCCCTGCTCTGGCTCTGGTGAATTCTCTCACTCTCCCGCGCTTCTGACTGTACCCAGTGCTTGTATAAATAAATAAATAAATCTTTGAGGAAAAAAAAGCATCTGACCTCTATTACACACTGTATTTTCATTCAGACATCTCCCAAGAACTCTAGATTCATTTGAGGCATCATCAGTAAGTGCAAATGCCCTCGCCAATTCTAACATGTCCTGTAAGCTGTAGACACTCGGGGGCTTCTCCACGCATTGCTTCCAGCTTTATTACACCTACAGCAGCTGCCCCTACACAGCCAGTGCCTTGTTATCGGGTGATGGGAAGACAAGGAGAGGACCAGCCTTCTCCACGGTCTCACCTTAAAGCCTAAGGCATGGGGAGAGGGCTTTGCGCCTTTGTCCTGAGGTTCCCGCATGGAGCGGGCACATAATCTCCACGATAGAGAACACTGAGCATATAAGCCAGAGGTCTCCAGAAAAACCAAACCAACTGGTTATAGAAACACACAAGGAAGAGATTTATTATCAGGAAGTGGCTCATACACCGAGCCATTGAAGCCTGAAGGATGACAAGTGCCAAGAAGGCGGCCAGGAAGCTAGAGACCTGGAAGACCTGGTGCAGCTCCAGTCTGGAAACTGACAGACCAGAGGACCACGAAGCATCAGAGCTTCAGTCCAAGTGTGTCTGAAAGCAAGAAAAGGTTGGGGGGTGGGGGGCGTTGCTGGTCAGCAGTCCGGCAAAAGAGGTTCCTCTTACTTCCTTACTTCTTGTTCTAATCAGGCTTTCAACTGATTGCACGAGGCCCACATATTGGGAAAACCAATTTTCTTTACTCTATCGATTTAAAGCTGAATTCTTCCAAAATGCTCATAGACATACCGGAATCATTGGAACAAATATCTGGGTGCCCTGGGGCCCACTTAAACACTTAAATTAACTGTGCATGAGGTCATGAGGTCTCCAAACGCAACTCCCCAGGCAGAGCAGGGTCATGTGAGCTGCTGGACATCTGAGGGGCAGCAGGATACTCAGTGCCTCAAAGACCTGTAAGGGAGCAAAATACCAAAGCCTGTGCTCCAGACTGTACCCTCACCATGCCCAGTATCTGAGCTCGTTTTCCAGCCCAGTCCCTGGAAAGAGCCCAGGAGCCTGTGTCACCAGTAGAGCTCTGAGCCACACAGCCCCAACCCACTCTGGGCTCCTAGACACTCAGCCCACCCCAGAGGTCAGAGGTCAGCCCTTCAGACTCCACCACATCCATTCACATGCAAGGGGTACGTCAACACTCTGGGATCTGCTTCCCCAAATCATTGCCACTTTTGGAGCTTAACATCAGTGTCTGACTGGGCTTGGGGGCCACCCTGGCGCTAGGCAGAGTGTCCAACCTCCCCCAGAAGCCAGCAGTTGTCAGTTCCCAGACCCTTTATCCCTGGTCCCCTCTATGCACAGACCTCTCAGGGTCCCCACCCCTGGCACATTGTCTGAATAGAGGAGTAAAGTCTCAGGTTCTTCAAGGTTTCAACCCCCTTCAAGGAGCAGAATTCACCCTGCAAAGGGGACATTTGTCATCACACAGGCCCCATGGTTTCCCCAATCCTGTCAAATATCTGGGGATGAAGTATTTCAGAACTTATCCCAAATTGGGATGAGCTATCTCAGAGGGCACAGATGGTAGGTTTGGGGGTAGGGAGAGGTGGGACCAGACTTCCTGTCAGTGCAAGAGGGACATCTTCCACCCTCTGCTCTCCTCCTCTGCAGGGTGTGAGGTCAGAGGTCAAGGCAAGGCAATGCCCACAAAACTGGGCATGACCACCTGCATGCTGTGCTGGGGTCAGGCCAACTGGCAGAGTACATGTCCCGGGGGTTTGCTGAGTCTGTGCACACAGCCCAGCATGGAGCATCCCAAAGGAAGGGTGCCCCACCCTGAGCCTCCACCTGTGGTCCTCACTGGCACCTCAGCATCACTGATTGTGGGCTCATTTTCCTTTCATGCTACTTGAGGACTTATATCAACTTTCCTGGTGGGCGTATAAGTGACAGATTATTCAGCAACAAGGAGTTGAAGATTGCCAGGCCTGCCCCAGGGCTCCCCTGCCTGGGTCTGTCAGTATTCCCACCTGGACCTTCTTTCTCCATCCTGCCCCCTCGCCCAACCCTTCACCTCTCCACCCCATCCACCTCCCTACCTAAATCCCTAATCATCCATGCCATCGGCCACCCCGTATCTCTCTCTTCCATCCACCCACCAACACTACTACTGGGAAAGTTCCAGTCCCCAGTCTGGAAGTTGGTGCTGCTTGAGATGGTTTAAGCAACAGCTCATGCAGCTGAAAAACACACTTCAATTCTAGTCTTCACTGAGCTCTACAGAGGAGAGGCCCCGAGCCAGAGGCAGTAACCGTGTGATCAAGACCCTCTCTTTCTTCGAAAGGAAGCACAGGGCAGCCAGCTCCTGTCCCCCTGTCCAGGAATACCTGCTATTCCCCAACAAGTCTTCAAGTCTCTGATGGGGCTTCACGGGCATGTCTCCCACCCCAGCCTCAGGGAACCCCTCCCTGGCTGGAAAGTCTGTACATGGCTGACCTGAAGGACTCCCTTCTCCCGTGTCACCCAGGAAGGCACCATCAGGTCTTCGCTTCCAGAGGCCTGCCATCCCGCCCAATGCTTGGCTGAGGGTCTAAGCTACTTACTAAAACCCTGAAATCAAAACAGGTTTCACAGCACACTTCAGAGCTGGAAATTCAATCCACCATCCACATGCCTGGCATGGCGCCCCAGCAGCTGGTGGGGAAGGAAGTTTAATCTCTTAGAACCTGCATGATATCTGCGCCCTGTGACTATATAAAGGTACAGCTGGGCAAAATGTCATAAAAATGTTCAATTCTGGGTAACGGGGTGTCAGATGCCTTGCATGCTGCTCACATTTCCAGGACACGGTCCAAGGAACCCCCTGGCGTGCCACCCCCACATGCTGCAGAGAACATGGCAGCCAAACCCTGTCTTCAAAGCCAAGGCATTTTTGATCTTTATCCCTGGGGCTGGGGGAACACCTGGAAATGTGGGGGTGGGCATAAGAGCCAAGAGGCACTGGAGAGAAAGACCACTTGAGAGACAGGATTCTTGTTGATCTGGTGTTTCTTTGAATTACTACAGAGTTCGTATATCTGTGTCCCAAAGCTTTCTAGCCCTGCTAGGGCTGCTGCTCCGTTATTTCCAAAGGTCAGCCTGGTCCTGCTGCCACAAGCTGTTCTGACGAATCACCATATGGAGCCAGAACAGCAGAGGGGAGATGTGTCCAGGGATGCAGCTCCTGCCATCATTGGTGGTGATCACGGGCTTCTCTGTCCCTGGGGTCCCCCCACAAAGCGGGCTTTCATGCAGCATCCTTTATAAGCAGAAGAGAATGGGTCTCATTAAAGCCTGTGGCCAGTCAGCACCTGCTACTTTGGATAAGATGGTCCAATTAGTATCTATTCTGTGTAACCAATTACCCAGCACTTAGCAGCTTAAAACAACAGTAATTCCTTATTACCTCTCCTGGTTCCTGTGGGTGGGACTTCAGACAGAGAGCAGCAGGGAGGCTGGCCCCTGCCGGGTGGTGTCTAGAACTTCTACTGGGAACAAAATGTTAGGTGGGGACCCTCTGAGAGCCACCTCCCTTGGAGCTGGAGTTTGGTGCAGGTTGCTGATTGGGGACCCTGGGTGGGATTTGGGTTACAACACCCACAGGTGGGCTCTGCTGGGCTTTAGAGCAAGTGTCCCAAGAGCAGGGGAGCCAAGAGACCAAGGCCACAGTCACTGACCTTCAGCATTTGGCTTCCAAAGACACTGGAACCTCTGCCATGGGCTACTGATAGAGAGAGTTGCTGGCTGCAGGGTCCAAAGGCAGGGAATGCAGTAGTGTCCTCAGTGGAAGAGCCCCGTGTCCTGTTATAAGAAGAACATGGAGGGCAGGAAAAATAGAGATGTGAGCATCTTCAGAAAGGAAGTACAACCTGCCACAGTGGTGGATGAGCAGGATATCGGGGGGATAATTCCATGCCCTGCAGACACCACCACACAGCACTGCGTCTGCCAAGCCTTTATCAAATTTTCCCAAGTCCAGTTACAGAGTCCAGTTAGAGTCTAGTTACAGAGTCCAGCTCTGAGTCAAGAAAACCTTATCTATAGAAAAACCTTCTTTATAAACCTTCCTGAGAGAAACACCCAATCAAGAATGTTTTACCTGAGCTCTCTCTGGGACTGCTTTTGTGCTTTTGCATCCACTATTTAAAAAAGGCAACAAAGCAAAAACTGACAATTATAAATCAGGGACATCCTGCAGGGGAGGAGGCGGGAGACGGATCAGAGGGAGGGAGGGAGGGAGGGGCACAGGGGACGGAGGCGATGGTGCACGGGTGCTTTGGTGAAGGAAACTCTATGGGGACTACACCTGAGGGGGTGAGGGGGAAGCAAACATTGTTTAAAAATGAACAATGATGAAAAAAATAAAAAAAATAATATAATAAAAAATAAAAATAAATAAAAAATTTTAAAAAGAAAAAAGAAAAGGAAGAAGCATGACCAGGGCCTGCAAGACGGCCTCTCTGGATTGTCTCCAACAACCTTCTGGGCTGCAGTCTGCTGACAACAAATGGGAATTTCTGCCAGAGCGCTCAGCAGCCCTTGTGAGTGCTTGATGATCTTGCTTACCCCTGCTCAAGAGCTGCTCAGAGGAGGTGGCTCATCAAGGGTTCGACGCCCCCCCCCCAACCCCCCTGAGAGGCCAGCAATGGCCCGTGACAGGAGTGGGGTGAGAGGCAGCCACCTCCGCAGCAGGGCAAGAGCTGACTTTGGGCTGAACTGCTATTCCATCCACCACCCATCCATCGGTCAGACATTCCTACAGTCGCCAGCCATCCTGCCCTGCAGCAATCCGGAGGATGGACTGGCATGATGGAAGTCCCAGGCCCGCCTCTCAGACACTCTGTGCTGGGTATGACCAGGCCCATCCTTTTCTGCCCACCCACCAATTGCAGTTTTGAGTTAGCTGTGTCTGGCCACAGTTCCAAAAATCCATTCTGACAGCTCCATCTTGTTCCCCTGCTCTAACACCGCGATCATTTTTTTACCACTTGTTATTTACTAGATTGGGACTATAAACAGGTCAGACTGTGTTCAACTTCCACTGAAATCACTGATGTTGGAAGCCTGGACCACCCATCTGCCAGCTTCTGTCTCGCAAGGAGCAGGCCGCACTTGGCACTCAGTCCCCCATCACAGCGGCACGGCTCTGGGTGCACAAACACTTAAATTGTTTGACTGTCCTCATTCCGCGAGACCCAAGGCTGAGGCACAGTGCCATGGAGGATTTATCAGTCTTTCTGGCAGATTCTTATTTGCCTTGAACAACACAAGCTGCTGCTTGGAGGAACCACATGCTGTCAGCATTAATCATCTCCGTGGAGAACCCACCAAGGACACTCTCTGCTGCAAAGGGGCAGCTTTGAACTCCAGCTGCCACAGCTGGGGAAATATTTGATCGTAGAAAACAATCAACAGTGAGAGAGGGCAGGTCATCTGGCTGTAGAGATCCACAAACACTCTGCAGGAAGAATGAGCAGAAAAGAACCTTTCTGTTGAATCATCTCTCCTCCTGAATTGTCAGTTTCTGTATGATGCTGACTAGGAAATAAATTCCAGGAATTAAGAGTGGAGCATGAGGCAGACCCACTGTGTTCTTGAAAGGACTTTGAGCAATGACCCAGAGCCACAATTTGCTCCCTGTGCTTTCCTCATCAGGAATGACTGACCAGCGTAAGTGGCAGGGAAAAGTGACTCAGGGGCTTAGGGCCAAAGAGGGACACTACCCGGGCCCAGACCCACCAGCCCAGGGCTCACTGGATTCCAGAGGTGGGTGCCAGGACCTACAGCAGACCAAGAAGCTCCAAGCACTGTCTTGTCTACCAGGTGGAATTTATTTCCTCTGGACAAACTGAGTTGTTGGTGGGGCCTTTGCAGAATCACACCTTCCCACATGCAACTTACTGGGTGTTAAGAGATTGTGATGGATAGGCTTCCCCCACAGTGTCCAAAATAGGCCTTCCCAATCATTGGCCATTGGCAATGGAACTAAATAGGATTAACTTGAGCTGAGGTCAGTAGAAGCTCTGCAAACTCGAGAGAAAATTTTAACACTTCTTTACCTAGAAGAATATAAATTGGGGATATTACCCAGAATTCGGATTTTTATCAGAGCTGGCTTTTCTATCAGAGAAACAGCCATATGACAGGGCAAGCATGTAATTACAGAGTATCTGGTCTTCATGATCTGAGTCACCATCTCCTTGACACATGTGTCCCCTCCTTTCTCTCTTTGTGGCACAAGGTCCCTGTCCCATTCCTTAGCTCAGGATATAAATGTCACTATTTTGCCTCATTTATTTTAGAATCTTCATCCACACATGGATTGGATTCTCTGTATTATGTAATTAAATTTGCTCATTTCTCCTACTGATTTGTGTGATGTTAATTTGATTTCTCTACCAGCCAGAAAAGAACCCAGAGGGGCAGAGGAAATTTCTCCTCCACCCCTACAGTTTTAAAAATAAGCAAGACCTGCCTTCCACCTTCTTTAGCAAAAGAAAGGTGTGCGCACAGCATGTAACAAGTGGAATAAACAGTATGGGAGGACCTCTGGAGAGAAGAAAGTGAATTCCAGTGGGCGATCAAGGTCATGCTACATTTAGTGCCAAATGCTGCAGAGTCTCCAGTCTTAGAAAGTGCAACTCATCAACAGACACTATCGGCACCATGTTTTCTCATTATAAATATTTATTCTCTCTATCAATTTAACCTCAGTAGACTTCAAACTGCCTTGAAATTTACCATGGCTGCAGCAATGTTATGAGTTATTAAGAAATATTTATTTCATCATTCAGAGAACTAAAATATATTTCTCACACCTATTGGCTCTTCAGCCTCAGTTCCTGGCTCACATTTACCCAAGTGTTTGGACTTTCCCAAGTGTGGAGAGTGATAAAGACCTTTTGTTAATGAGGTGACTTGGGGAAGCACCTAAGGATGGGGGCTGGTTCTCAGGAAAACCAACCAAGTACTTAGAAGGTTGAAACTTCCAGACCCACAATGACATTTCTAGGTTACTGAGAGGGGTGGAGATTTAGTTCCATTGCCAATGGCCAATGATTTAATGAACCATGCTTGTGTGAAGCATCCATAAATATCCAAAAGGAGAGGCTTCCAGGGTAGTGAACATGTGGAGAGTCTGGGAGAGTGGCGTGCCCAGTCAGTCCACACCCCTTGCCCATACAGTGCCCTGTGCTTCTTCCATCCGACTTTTCCTTTGTAATAAATCAATGATCTAGTGAATAAATGGTGCTTGAGTCTTCTGAGCCACTCTAGAAAATTAATGGAACTTAAGGACGGCCTTGTAGGACCCTTTGACTTACGGTCAGTTGATCAGGAACTCAGATAATAATCTGGGCTTATGACTGGCACCTGAGGAGTGTGGAAACTTCCAACGTATAACTGATTGGTGAGAAGCAATGGTAAGAGCCTGTACTTACAGCTGGAACTTGAAGTGGGAGATGGTCTTGGAGACTGAGCCCCTTCACCTGTGGAAACTGATGCTCTCTCCAGGTAGACAGTCTTGGCATTTTGCTGGACCCTCAGACTCCCTGGTGATGTCAGAGCACTACTTATTGGTGTGGGCAAGACTCCAAACACTCGTGTTGGATTTGGGTCCAGAAACCCTGTAGGGTAAAGAAAATATCAGGCTTTTCTGCCCTTCCGCCATCAGGATAGATGATGGATCCATGTCCTGAATGCATGCCTGATGGCGGGCACCTAGAATAGGGTGTGAGCATAGGTAGATGGGATTCAGCTGAGCTAAGACTGTGCTTTTAAGGGCGGCGTCACGGGGACGCCAGCAGCAGCAGCAGCAGCAGCAGCAGCAGCAGCAGCAGCAGCAGAACCTGAAGGAGAAGCAGAGAACGCCAGAGAGCCCAGATAGAGTGAAGACTTGCTGGGGGCTGGGAGGTCTGCCAGCCTCCCAGCCCCCCAGCCAGCACCCCTGCCTGCCATATGCCTGGTGAACCCCAAACAAAAAAACCTGCAAAACTACTGAGGACTCAGACTCCTCCTTTACCCGGTCTGCATGGGATCAGAAAATCTGCACTGTCATCCAGTCCTGCCCCTACAAACCCTAAATAGCTGCTGGACTCCAAGCACACAGTGTGTTTCCTTGTTCAGATTACATGGGATGTGATATGATACTTGTAGGGTAAGGAAAAATGTCAGGCTTTTCTGCCCTCCCGCCATCAGGATAGATGATGGATCCTTGAGGTCCTGAATGCATGCCTGATGGCGGGCACCTGGAGTAGGGTGTGGGCATAGGTAGATGGGATTCACCTGGGCTGAGACTGGGCTTTTAAGGGCGGTATCACGGGGACGCCAGCAGAAGCCAAGAAGCGAGACTGAACAAAAGCCGAGAGAGAAGCAGAGAATGCCGGAGAGCCCAGGTATAGTGAAGACTTGCTGGGGGCTGGGAGGCCTGCCAGCCTCCCGGCCCCCCAGCACCCTTGCCTGCCATGTACCTGGTAATCCCAATAAAAGACCTGCAAAGAACCACTGAGGACTCCGACTCCTCCTTTACCCGGTCTGCTGGATCCTAGAAAACCTGCTCAGTGTCCTTCCTGCCACTACAAGAACGCCAGAGAGAGCCCAGATAGAGTGAGGATTTGCTGGGGGCTGGGAGGACTGCCAGCCTCCCAGTCCCCCAGCACCCCTACCTGCCATGTACCTGGTAATCCCAATAAAAAAGCCTGCAAAAACCACTGAGGGCTCCAGGACTCCTCCTTAACCCTGACTGCTGGATCAGAAAACCTGCCCTGTGTCCATTCCTGCCCTTTACAATACTGAACACTGCATGGGGATTTACTCATGATCACATCGCCAAAGGTCAATAGGACAGCCTGACATGGAGGCCAGAGAGCGGTCAATGACCCCTGGCCGAGGCACTGTCCTCCACATACAAACTTTCCACCAGACCCCAACCACACACTCAGGGTTCCCCACACCATCCAAATATCTGCTCAGTCTTTTTTGTAACCCTGTGACTATTTTACATAAAAATAAAGGCCATGCAGTCAATTTTATAGTCACCTCCAAAAAATTAAAATAAAAGCTTGGTTTTGCCACGAAGATTTGACATCACGTTTCCATGATGTGCCTTTTCCATGATGTGCCTTTTCTTCATTTGCAGAGCTATTGACTAATCTATCCTCAATTGGCTGTGGGCCCGCCATATATCACTGTTAAATATCTCCATCTGACAGGGAAGCAGAGCTCCACGACTTTAATGAAGCAGCCAGGGGATCTGACTAAGCAAAACTAGAGATGTGATTGTCAACCCACACAGCACTTTCTTCTAATGGCACTCTGCAGTCCACCCTGCCCCCTCCACAGCTCAGGACCCCACCCACACAAAAGGACAAGTGCGGTAATGGGGTGCCCAAGTTCTCTTAACAGTCATTTTGGTTGATGGCTAAGCTCCTTCTATTTGTTCATACTTGTCTTCTAGAAACACATTTTTAATGTATTTTGTACCATGAATCTTTGATGCGAAATAGCAAAGAAGTGCCAGCACCTCACAGCTGTCGCCATCAGCCAGAAATGAGAGAGTGCTTTATAAACTCCCCACCAGCCTCAGGTGGGATCGACCTTTGGAAAAGACAGACTTCTCAAGGCTCTGGGCTCGAGGGCAAATTGAAGGCCTGGAGGGCTGTGGGTGTGGCAAGGATGAGGGGCACAGCATGATTGTGACCACTAGAAACAAATCTATATTTATTTCTTTGTACCTGAGAATAGCAAGAATTGGAGCAGAGATTCTCAAGTTTATCTCACCCCCAAATTCTCTGAGGGAGCAATTAGATCTGTCTCCCTGTCTGTGGTGTGATTTCACCAGGAGAGAAGGCCCTGTGAGGCCAGGGCCAGCTGAACTCTGGATGCTACATCCAAATCCAGGGGAAGGGAGAGCAGCTTCCTGCCCTCAGAACCCCAGGGAATGTTCTTTTCCAGATGAGTCTTCATGCCCTGGGAAGTGGCCCTCCTCCCCTCCAAGGGCCATGTTCAGGGGCATGCGCACAAAGGCAGACCACATCTCCCAGTCTGCTTCTGTGGGTCCTCCATGGAGGGCTACAAAGGCGTTGCTGAGCCGCCTTGTACTCCTTTGCTGGAAGGAGACTCGTGGAAGAGAGACTTGGAAGTGACACATGGGTAATGTGGAATCTCCTTTTGTCCCAGCCCTCTGGGACCTGCTTCAGAACCTCTTTCCTGCCAGTAGGCACATAGATTTGTGGCAAGTTTTGAGACGTCAGCAGCCCTGCTTTGAGACAACCCTGTTTGGTTGGTCATTTACCTACAAGGGGATGGGTAATTTGGGTGTTTGTTGGAAAAGTCTTCTCTTTTTAAAAAAAAAGATTTATTTATTTATGCATACAAGAGCTGGGGTACAGGCCAGAGGTGTGGTGGGGGGAGAGGATTCACCAGAGACAGAGTGGGGAGCAGAACAGGTAGATCCACTGAAAGACACTGCTGAGGGGAGCAGTGGGCAAGGCAGGAGAGGTCTGCTGTGCCACGTGGGTAGCTCCCTGGCCGGGGATTGAACTTATGCTGCAGAGGCTGAGGATAGCTTTGTATGTTGCGTCTTAACCCCTTGCGCCACCAGGGAGGCCCTGAAAAGTCTTCTCTTTTTGTATGCACATTAAGCTATTAAAGATTGATCACGCTAAGAGAATGCTTTGTCTTTATGCAGTGATGGCAGGACTCCATTTTAGAGCATACAAGTTTGGGGGTTCCTACGTACCCCTCACATGCTACCACCTCCTTTGGATCACCTCTTTCTGAAAATAATGGCAATAGCACAGGTCATCTCAGTTCTTGCAGGTTGACCTCGTAAACGTGTCACCCAACATTTGGTGAACTCAGGACCAAACATCCCTTCGGGCAACCCCATGAAGACCAGTGCGTGGCGGTTCTGCCAGCTGGATCTGTGTAGGTGCACTCTCTGACAGCCACCTAACTGTGAAATCACCTAACAACAAATTTCTCAGAACATATCCCTGTTGTTAAGCAGCACATTGTGAACAGACTGTAAAATGTTCTGGGAACATCCCTCCCTGCTCTAGCAGACAAGAGAGCAAAGCCATTTGCACAGACTTGAGGTCTGAGAAACAGCTCTGCAAAACCTGCGGTAAAATCAGCCTTTCCAGCCCCACTATTAACTAAGGAGCCCACTGGATAAAGAAGGTTTAAACAATGGGCAGGGAGCCTTTGCATCTCCGGTGCATTCTTCAGAAAGAAAGAGATTAAATCCACTGCCTTTGTCTACACATAGATAGCATCAATGTACCTTTAGGTCAAAATTACTCAGAACCAGAACCACCCCCTCTTAAGAACAATTACACCTGTCAATGACGCTCTAATCCTGCCTATATAAACTAAATTCAAACTTGTCATTTCGAACTGTGTTCTAGGTTAGAATCCTCATTTGGTTCCCTATTAAACTCCTTGTCTGTCATTGAGACTTTTACTCTGTCACTATAGTTCAAGAATCTGGTTATGCCTTGAAGTTTGATTCCATAATTATAGGACACAGGCATAGATAAAGCTTTGAACTTTGCTTTCACCTACAAGATGCTTTTGAAAGGACGTTCAGAATCTCAGAGTTATTTCCTTTTCTATCTCTGATCCTATCATGTGTGAAACAAGCACAGATCAGAATTCAAATCTCCCAAGAATAGTAGTGAGACAAACTTCAGATGAGGCCCATCACTCTCTGCCTCGATTTCCTTATAAGTTAAGTGGGCTAACAGGAATGCCTATGGCATTCCAAATGCGTAAGCCAGTGTGCAGAGAAAGAAACAGTTAACTATTGATAAGGATGGTTTTTTTTTATTTATTTATGCATACAAGAACTGGGGTACAGGCAAGAGGTCGGGGGCAGGGTGGTGAGAGGAGTCACCAGAAACAGTGGGGAACAGAACAGGAAGACTGACTAAAATACGCTGCTCAGGGGAGCAGTGGGCAAGCCAGGAGAGGTCTGCTTCACCATGTGGGATTCCCCTGGCCAGGGATTGAACCCATGCTGCAGAGGCTGCAGACAACTTCAAAGGTTGTGTCTTAACTCCTTGTGCCACCAGGGAGGCCCAGCGTTTTTTGTTTGTTTGTTTATTTTGCGGTTTCTTCCCCCATGAATATCCCTTCCCTAGTCACATTATCCTGGGAGTTGGACCCATCTCTTCAGCGCACACATGGAAATAAGTGAAACAGGAGTGGAGAAAGCAATAGAACAAATGGGCTCTGGGGTCAGAATCAAGAATGCCATCGAGGGGGGGTTGCCAGGTCTCTGACTGCAGGGACCCTCTGGTTGTGGTCCTGGCTCCAGGGCCAGTTTGTCTCCTAAGAAGGCCCCATGTGGAGACTGGGGCTGTAAAAATATCTGCCTTTCTAAAATAAAGATGTAGCTTTCTCAGTTAATCCATTTTTACTTTAGGAAAACTTTGCACCCAGAGCACAGCAAGTGGCACTGCTCAGCTGTGAGCACCGCCTTG